CGCCACCTTACCTTTTCGGGCCTTCGTGACGAAAAATAGTATGTATCATTCGGGCGATAGCGTTGGTTTTCGAATCGTGTGAGTTTGCAGCACTCGGCGTAGTATAGTCGTAGACTCGGGCCGCCTCCGGCGGCCCTCTAATACCGAAATCTCAATAAATAGAAATTTTCAAACTAATTACTTTAATTGAACCTGTTGAGAACTGCGTCATGAGGACACCTTTGAAGATTCCGTCAACGAAAAAAAAATCAAAACCTATTTTTTCGTCATTTTTTACACTAAAACTGAAGTAGTAAACTCATCAGTACGACAGATGAGGCCCCCAGCGACTTCGAAATTTCAGTGCGGCCTCTCCTTAAAGAGAAAATCGGGGAAATACCTGAATCTTTGACTGAAGGGATTCATCTTACGACAGATAGGCCACTTAGTTATGTCGTCTGGCCATTCGTAGGGGGCTATACTTGCTGGGGCATCACAGAATTTTGGATCCAGGCCACAGACTGATCCGCTTATTCTACCTCCAGGGCCACTGTCACCTGGACCCCATTTTTTCCATGTTGATATGGTATTCTGGAGTGTCAAAATGTACTCGTTAATATTGAGATATTAATGAAAGAGAGAGTGGGATAAAATGTAAACTTTTATCATTTTTTAAATGCATTATTCCAACATTACTTTGCATCCATAAACAATAAGATGAGATTTAATTCACAGGCAATTCATTAATTTGTCATTAAAAGGGAAAATAACAATATTTTGAACAAAAAAAAAATTTTTGCTAATTTGAAAATTATAATAGGAAGTTAAAGTATTCATTTTCTCTCTCCTAAGTTTATAGAATACTTCAGAAAATTTATAATAAAATTCATGCAAACACATCATTTGTATGATGTGCATATTACCGCCAGAGTAGATCTCATTCCCCGGATCAGTTGGTTCGCATGGAGAAATTATTTTTATTATAGCACCATTTTAAAATACCCAATGATAGTATAGAATCCATTAATTATGGAAATTGATCGGTTATCCTGGGAGTACTTACTGAACAGTCAGCTTTGCTGGATTGGACACAGCCAGAGTCGTCGTTTCTGATGCAGCAAGCAGTGTCTCGCTCACGTTCCCGCCACACGTCGATCTCCTTCAGGATTTTCAGGTCTCTTCGCATGCAGGGGGCGAATTTCGCCCCCAGATGAATGAGGTCTGCAGCTCTGGGGCCGATCCAGAAATTCGCGGGCTCTTGGTAATCGACTTGTTGTAATGAAAGACTTGTTACGAGTACCTGAAGCACAAGAACATGGAAAAATTTAATTTTGAAAATTATTTGGGGGGAAAAATTTTAATAAATCGGTTTCTTTAGTTTTGATGAGCGACAATTTATCGTGAAATCAACGAACATTTTTTAGTTTAGAAAATTAAATAAATCATTTATTCAATAAATCATCGTTCATTATTAAATTCAATATTCGCCTCAAAAAAATGTTTTAGTTTCAGATTTTAAAAGTCTTAATGAGACTTTTAATCTTGAAATTCAGTTTTTCAAAATTCTGAAATTAAAAGTTATCACAATCTAAATTAAAATCACGAGTCTTGAATGCAGTAATTAATTTTTCAAGTGTTTAAAAAAATTTTAACAGTCGAAATTAGTCGATGTGTTATCATTTATCAAGCCCTTATCTTGAAATCAAGGGGTTTCAGAGGAAACTTTTTAGTTTACAAAATTGAAGAAATCATGTATTAAATAAATTTTTTCAAAAAAAAATTGTTATTATAATTTATTGAATAAATTTATTTAATACATGATTTATTCAATAAATCATCATTCATTATTAAATTCAATATTCGCCTCAAAAGAATGTTTGAATTTGCAATTTCAAAGTCTTGATGAGACTTTTAATCTTGAAATTTGGTTCTTAAAAATTCTAAAATTAAGAGTTATCACAGTCCAAATTAAAATCACGAGTCTCGCATGCGGAAATTAATTTTTCAAGCTTGTAAACAAATTTTAAAAATCGAAATTGACGTTTCAACTTACCAAGCCCGATCTATGATTGATATCGAACCCAACAGGGCCAAATCCATAACAAAAAAGTGAAATAATCATGACGAGAATTTGAACGGTTGTTATCCAATACGTAAAATACGGCCTGTGGTCCTCAATATCATCCAATTGTTTCCTCACGTGGGGTTTATGCGCCACACTTTTACGAAATGATCGCCTGCTGGGAAAATAAAACAGATTATTCAACTGCATTCGCCACACGCATGGTTTATACCAGCAGTTCAATAAATTGTGATTATCTGCTGACCCCAAGAATCGTCCGACGATGCCCATGCCATATTGTCGCCTATTACTGTTGTCAAATACACGGTCGATGGTGCTTGACGATATCCTAGTGCCGCCTGTAATGTCTCTCCTCAATATTACGCTTTCATCTTGCTGTTGGCTCGTTGCCTCACCATCAATTCGTCCACTCTGCCCTGACCTGCGCCAATTGGTTGTTCTGTAGAAGTTTTTTATTAACGAGATGTGAACGATTTTATGAGATGGACTGAGCGGATTTTTTGGGATAATGAATCGTGGGTACCTGGAGATATAATGATCCTTTGCTATTGATCGAACTCTACGTGGATGAGGGGCTTCTATGCAGGGACCTTCCTTCTTTGGTGATGCGAATCTAAAATGATGATTGAATAAAAAAAATTGTTATGACGAATTCCATGTTAACAGAACAAAATAATCCCTTACATGATGATGAATACCAAATTGTCTTCAGATTACTTGAATTATCATTTTCAATTTTTACATTTTTAAAAATTGGAAAAAATTACTCAATTTGAGGTAATTAATTTGAATTATCTTTAAATAATTTTAAATAATCGTGTGAATTGGAACTCAATTCATCATCTAATCACTCATGAAGTTTTTTGTTCGTCTAGGAAATTTAGTGGAATTACTTGGAGGACAATTTTTTCATTATGTAAAAAGACATTGATAAAAATTTCAAGATCTTCACTTGAAATTTAAGAATAGTTTTCACTCATCCTTCCTATTTAGGAATGATGTCGATGAGTGAGTGATTTTACAAGAAAAATTCTCTCGAGACTCCCCAAGAACCACTCGTTTGCAAGCCAAATACTTTGAGAAATTCCGAGATTGACTCATTACAATTCACCACTTAGTTATTCAAATGATCAAACAAAAGATTATGACCGAGGGAAATTACCTGGCAAATTCCCCGCCACCAGAAGTGGATTCCGCAGTTCTACTTCCACTGTCAAGATGATCAGCCTCCGTGCAAGACATGTCTTCACTCTTGAGAGCATCTCCAATAGCCTGTTCAAGGGAAACTTGAGACTGCTGATGAGGCGTTGCCGAGGGTAGAGGAGGTGGGGGAGGTGGTGGTGGTGGTGCTGGTGGCCGTTGGAAGAATGCCTCCTCTTCCTCATCCCCAACGGCATTATGCTCATCATTGTCGGAGGTAATACCATCGGTGGGTGGAAATGATGAAATTACACTGGGGGGAAAGCTACGGGATTCCGGTTGTGGTTCGGATCTCTCCTGTGGACGCTGTCGTGTCAGGGTCTGGAATGAAGGTAATATATGTAAATAAAGCATTATGTTCAAATTGAACTTATAACGTCAAATTCTGCTGCACGAGAACTTTAATTACAATGCTGTGCACACGAATAAATCAAAGTGTGCATGATGGATTATTATTTCATTTAGAATTTCTGGGGTGGACTGAAAATCATCTCAAACTGTTTGCTGGGTAAATACTTAATAGTTTCATAGTATTTGAGGAAGCATACTGATTCAGGGCTCTATCGAAAGTTGCTCTTCTCGTTTAAATATTCTATGAAAATGTATTATACTGTAATTGAGATATTTAATTATTTAATTCCAGAAATAAAATAATTCGTCCATCTAAATTTAACTTATAACGTCAAATATTGCTGCACGAGAACTTTAATTACAATGCTGTCAATCCGCATAAATCAAAATATGCATGATGTATTATTATTTAATGTAGAATTTCTGGGGTGGACTGAAAACCACCTCAAACAGTTTGCTGTCAAAATGGATTACGCTGCGACTGAAATGTTTCATCATTTAATTTTAGAAATCAACTGATTCGTCAAAACAACGTAAATGTTATCAAACAACTTCCCCAAAAACCACTGAACTCTCAGATAATTATTCTATCCAAATTCAATTTATAACGTCAAATATTCCTGCATTAGAACTTTAATTACAATGTTGTGACTAATTTGATTTAACCTGACTAATTTACCTCATGTATGCCGTATTATTATTCAATTCAATTCAATTTCCGGGGTGGACTGAAAACCATCTCAAGCAGTTTGCTGGGTAAATACGTAATAGAATAGTTACGGAATAGTTTTATGGTATTTAAGGAACCTAATTGATTCAGTGAATGTGTAATTGAGATATTTCGGCATTTGAGACAAATACAAAAAAAAGTAAAATAAAAAAAAGTATTTCGTTCTTTTTCCATGTTATGATTTTCCCTGATGGAAGGAATTCACGCGAAATGTCAATTACATGCGCGAAGCAACGAATGATTTCATCTCCAAGGTTTTTAATATTGTACTGACCTCAACGACGTAATGAAGACCTGACAACGTCATTCGTGCAACCGAGTCTTTTCTCCGCACAGGCTGCTGCCATCGCCGTAACGTAATATTCTAAGAATAAATTCATCAGTTAGTGTCAACCGTATATTACAGACTCGCTGTTCCAAGTGATAATGGTAAGCTACCTCTGGTATTTCAGTGGAATCTGGGATATCTTTTGTGATGTCTGGGTCCACCGGTTTGTGCTCCGGGAGGAGAGCACCGTACTTTCGGGAGGCCATGCGCCTCCTTCTGTCGAGCCATCTTTGCCTCTCCAGGCTCTCCGTTTCCTCGTCGACACCGAAGAATGTTGCAGTCTCTTTTTTTATGTAGCTGGAAAAAAAAGGATTTATTTCGAATAAATTAATTATTTGTTTAACAGAATTGAAATGTTTTCACATGAATAAATATGAGTTATATTAATTTTCAATGATAGAATTGCTGAAGTGAATAGACAAATTTTTAATTAAGCGTTTTATTTGGGTCTAGGGCTGCGTTTCAAGAAAAATCTCCAGTTCTTCCGGATATTTTCCTTGAGAAAATTGAAGTTTCATGAACACTTGGTGATTTTTAGGAGAATTATATGCGATTTAGGGGAGAAAATGAATTGAATTTCAGATTTCAATGGAAATTGAATGAAATTACAAATTTTTTAGCTTCATGAAGCCGAGGATTTACCAATTTACTGGATTGTCAATAAAAAGATGAATATTCAGTACAATAATTAAATCTCAAGCATAAATTTACCTGAATTCAACTAAACTTTGCACTTTCTATTCATTTCCCCATAAAATTTTGATTTTTCAATTATGAAATTCCTTTAAATTCCTCGACATTGCAGTGAAATACGTAATAAAAAATTTCAGGCAAAAATTTTAAACAGTGTCATCTCCACTTCAAAAGCGTCAAAAAATCCTCAAATGAATAAATTCATCTTCTTAAATAAAATAAATGAATAAAAAGAAAATTCTCGTGAAAATTCTATTTGTTTTTTGCGCTGATTCGATTCGATATTCTATAGGAAAAAGTCAACAGATTAGATTTTTCTGTTTACATTTTTCTCTTGAGATTTTTTCTATTAAAATTGTTGAGCACGGATTTTCCAAGTTTTTCCGCTGTATTTTGTTTTGTTTTGCATTACAGGGTCCGAGTGGAAAAACTTGGAAAATTTATGCTCAAGTATTCCTATAGAAAACATCCCAAGAGAATATTCATACAGAAAAATCGAAGTCTATTGACTTTTTCTATCCAAAATCTAATAGAAACAGCGCAAAAAACAAATAAAATTTTCTACCGAATTCGCTAAGTTTTTCTATTTAATGTTTTCGTCCGTGAATTGCCTCTAAAAAAAATTCTTACTTCTTTATCGCCTCTGTTCGACTCATATGTCGCTTAAGTCGTGGCTTCTGCCCAACAGACCCAGCAGTGCTCCCCGAATTGCATGGTTCAATAGTGGGTCTTGGTCCTGCTGGTGCCGAAACACTTCTCGTAATAGCCAAGCTTGATGTACTGATTGCTGTTGATGCAGCATTCGTAGCTGAAGGCACAGAAGGTGAGATAGTCGGAACAGTTGTTATTGGTTTATCAGTTGTTGTAACGCTGTTTGTATTCCCCACAGCGTACATGCCAATACTCTGTGAACTTTCGCCATCAGCCCCTGAGGATGAAATCGTTGAGGTCCCTGTTGTGCCGGAGCTCGGCGATTGTTGCCTAAAATTATACAAAATCAAATTGACTAGATTACGCAGCCCCATCTCCAAGTTTATTTTCATTCGACTTTTTTTTGCCTGCGAATTCGCTGGCGCTGGCGAATGCAACAGCTTCCATGAATATTGTATGGGTGCTATTATAATTTCATGACCACGACTTTGGAGTTACTGACTAAAACCCCAATTTCCATTTATTTTAAATAATATATAAATTGTTCACGAGGGTAAATGTTTGGTATGGATAGTTGGGAATAAGTTGGGAATTAGTCAGAATGAAGATGTCAATTTTTCTGAATGATTCACTGAAAATATTTTAATAAAAATAAAATAAATGAAATAAAAAAAATAAAAATGAAATAATGCGATATTTTATGGAAAGTCAATAAAAGCCGATTTTTCTATACAACTCATTCTATTGAAATATTTTCTACAAAATTTCCTCGGCTTAAATTTTGTTTTTTTTTCATTCTATTTTTTTTGTTCTTTTCATCAAGAAAATGTAACAAAAAACTTGGGAAATTTGAACCGAAGAAATTCTATCGAAAATATCTCAGTAGAATAAGTTGTATAAAAAAATCAATAGAACGAAAGAAATTCAATAGAATTGTCTAGCGAATTTGCTAGGTTTTTCTATGAAATGTTTCATACGTGTTTACTATGAATAGTTGTGAATAAGTTGGGAATTAGTCAGAATAAAGATATCAATTTTTCTGAATGATACACCGAAAATATTCAAATAAAAGTCAAATAAATAAAATAAAAAAAAGAAAATGACATGAAAATATTTTATAGAAAGTCAATAAAAGTCGATTTTTCTATACAACTCATTCTATCGAGATATTTTCTATAAAATTTCCTCGGCTCAAATTTTCTGTTTTTTTCATTCTATTTTTCTTTTCTTTTCATAAAGAAAATGGAACAAAAAAATTGGAAAATTTGAGCCGAGAAAATTCTATATCAAATATCTCAATAGAATAAATTGTATAAAAAAATCAGTAGAACCAAAGAAATTCAATGGAATTGTCTAGCAAGTCCGCTAGGTTCTTCAATGAAATTTTTTCACACCTGTTTGCTATGAATTCTTCCACTTTCTTCATAAATTTAGGAACAGAGATCAAATAGTCGTTACCATGATTATATAATCAAAAGACTAGAGTGTTATATTTGCAAGCTCCTATGTAAATAATTCTCTTGACTGAAGGTTCAATAAAGACATTAATTTACGCATTCGAATTTCCGACATTTCGAAATTATACTTTTTTAAGAACAGCAGTTGGAATTAAACTCAAAACTATTTGAATTTGAAATTTGTAAAAATAGCTCAGCCAATGAATGCAAAATAGTACATAAAATATTTCACTTGAATAAATGTTTACAAATGAATCAGAAATTCGTGAAAATTAAATTTCCACGACTAAAAAGTGAAATAAAACCCAATAGTAATTAAACCACCACCACTTACTCGGCTTTATCCATAACGATCCGTTCACCCTTCGAATTGCCGTTGATTATAAAAATTTAATTCTATTTTGACGCATACTTTATCCCGCGAATGCAAAATAAATTCGAGAATTACACCACGAAACAGCTGGAAATCACGGAATACTGTAGAATTGTTGAGCTACTCCGTGTTGTGAGTCAGTAACATTTTATCTCCTATCAGAGCCCCGATAATATCGTGAAATGAGTGATCCTCTCGCAGCGATACAGTGTAATACTATTTTCGGTTGACAATCAAACTGCGGCACAACCAATTTCATCAATATTTGGAATGGAAGAGTTGAGCTGTTTTGGCGGTTGAAAAAGCCAGTGCGCTATGTTGACGCAGTCTGATGGTACTAATGCCGGTTTGAGGGGAAAAAAAAGATAGAACAGATGTGAAATAAAGGCAAAAAAGCAATACTCAGCATGTTGTGACGCTGGATCGTGACTCACTTGGTGGGAAAAAGAGAAAGGAACAGCGAGTACAGAGGAAACCTTGAGAGAGGAAGATATGGAAGGGAGGAATGGAACTTTGGGTGTCAATGACCTGGAAAAATACTCGAAATCGTACTGTAATACGTAATCGTAATTCGAAAATACTGAACACTACGAAAATAATCAATTGACCAATACACTTAAGTCATTCAATGAATTGAATGTTCGAACATTTAATACATTTGTTCGATCACTGGAGGTCATGAAAAAATTCTACACCCAGAACATCTCTTTCGAACACACAATAGAGTCCCCTAAAACTTGGCGGAACAGTCTTTTGTATGCTAAGTTAACTGCTCGAGTACAACTTTGTCTGCTACCAGCGCATAAATATACCACTCGAATTATCTGTATAACAGCGGTAAATGATTCCCCCAAGTGATGTACATTTGTCGCGAAACATTACGCTAAAACCGTCTGCATCATTCGACTCTATTATTGTAAAAAAAATTGGAATATCAATGATGATCGAATGTTAAGATTCAGACGAGGGATATTGAACTTTATTCATGCGGAAAATGCTTAAAAAATTATAATTTTCGTGAAATTGAAGAACATATTCACCAGAAACTTTCGGATTTTTCCTAATTTTTGCTGAATAATTGAGTTAAAAATGATGAATTATATCGATTTTCTCATCAATAAAAAAAAATCTGTTCTACCACAAAAATTTAATGGAAATGTAATGGGATATTCGTTTTTTAAATTCATACCACTCGAATTATCTGTATAATAGCGATAAATGATTCCCCCAAGTGATGTATATTTGTCGCGAAACGTTCCGCTAAAACCATCTGCATCATTCGACTCTATTATTGTAAAAAAAATTAGAATTTCAAGGATGATCAAATGTTAATTTTCAGACGAGTGATACTGAATTTTATTCATGAGGAAAAAGCTTGAAAAATTCAAATTTTCTTCAAATTGAAGAACATATGTAAAAATCAAGAATTATATCGATTTTCTCATCAATTAAAAAAAATCTGTTCTACCACAAAAATTTAATGGAAATGTAATGGGATATTCGTTTTTTAAATTCATACCACTCGCATTAGCTGTATAATAGCGGTAAATGATTCCCCCAAGTGATGTAAATTTGTCGCGAAATAATACACTAAAACTATCTGCATCATTCGACTCTATTATTGTAAAAAAAATTGGAATTTCAAGGATGATCAAATGTTTATTTTCAGACGAGTGATATAGAATTTTATTCATGAGGAAAAAGCTTAAAAAATTCCAATTTTGCGGAAATTAAAGAACATAGTTACCACATATTCTCTGATTTTTCCTAATTTTCACTGAATAATTGAGTACAAAATCACGAATTATATCGATTTTCTTCGCAATTAAAAAAAAATCTTTTTTATCATAAAAATTTTTATTTAAATTTAAAAATCTGTCCTATCGCATTGATTTTTATATATGAAGAAAATGCTTGAAAAAATTAGAATTTTCTTGAAATCGAAGAATACATTCACCAGAAATTTCTGATTTTTCCTACTTTCCCTGAATAATTGAGTTCAAAATCACAAATTAAAAAAAAATATGTTCTACCCGAAAAATTTAATTAAAACTCCCCGGAACCCCCCTCTAAAATTCATTTTTAATACGCCCCCCGAGAAATTCATCCTAAAAAAGCAGTAAAAGAAATCTCGCCTGCACCGTCGAGAGCCCGTGCTAAACTAAAATCCATAAAACCCCGCATAAAGAAAAAAACTCACCACGACGAATGGGCCGACTGATTAGAAGGAATGGAGGGCAGAGCGGGTGGCAGAGACCTCCTGACTTGACAGCAGTTCTTCTGTCCCCCAGCTCCCTCGCAGCACGTATGGCTGGACCTCCCACCGCCGTTGAATTCAATGGTGGAGGCTCGCACCTTGGGTCGCAACAAGGGTGAAGTAGAGAATTCCCTCTGGGCTGAGGTTGAACTGCTTGAGCTACTGGAGCCAGGGCTCCCGCTGATCCGCCCAGGGGAGGCATAAGCAAAGCCTCGAAATCGAAAATTCGTCTGGTGATACGGATACCCTGGCGGTGGTAGCCGATAGTGATGATGAAATCCAAGATCTCGTCGCATGTACGGATCGCCAGGATCAGCAGCTGGTACGTAACGATCGGTTGGTGTGTGCACAGCCGATGGAATGTACCTGTCCACGTACCTATCAGGGTACAATATCTCAGGTGGTGGTTGGGGCACATATCTCTCGACTGGTGTGTGGGCATGTGGTGGCACATAACTGACACCCGAGGCATTACCACCACTATAATTCCTGGGATCATTTCCTGCATTAACTGGCGAACACGAAGTGCCTATTCTACCAGTCGAGAATATATCCTTTGGTTTTGGTAATGACAGATACTTCTCGCCAATGCTGCGAATTGGTGAGTAGCGCTCGATATTTCCGTGGTATCTCTGCTCGCTCTTCTGGTAGCGGTCGATTGTATTTGTTGAGCTGTTGTAACGATCCATGGAGTAACGGTCTTGGCTGCAGCGGTCGTAGTGATCGGGATTTGTGAGCTGGTAGCGATCGTAACTCGACACTGACTTCGATACCTGAATGAATTTGTCGGTTTTTGAGTTTTGATTCTGATAGCGGATTGTACTGACGTCGGGGGTCGGTGACTGCTGGATGAAGCGGTCCGCTGAGGGCTGGCTTGAGGTAGAGTACAGACTGTGGTATCTACTGTTCTCCGAGGAGGACGGGGAGGATGACACGAGGAGGCGCTCGGTTGAGGCTGATGGGTATCTTCCTGGCTCTGATATGAGGCATCCGTCGTGGGTCGATGGGGAAGAACTCGATAAGTATGCACGTTCGTTGAATCTGGAGGAATTTAAGAGGAATTTAAGCGCGAGATTGAATTGTTCAATTTTTTAAGTTTAGGAATTTATATTGAAGAGAGTCTCTAGAAAAAATTAGTAGATTTCTGTTGAGATGTTTTCTACGAAAATTTGTTGATCGAATGTCTTATTTTCTTAGGATGATTTTCTTAATTTTCTTAATTTTTAAAAATTTGGAAAATTCATGTCGTGGAATTTTTATAGAAAATGTCTCAATCGAAAAGCTTCCACAGACAGATAAAATTCTATTGATTATTCCTATAAACCAGTTTCTATTAAACATTTTCATTTTAGAACCCAAAAACTCCTAGAATTCCACTAGAAATTGTCCCCGAATTCGTAACCTTTTTCTATTTAATTTCTCATCCACGAAGTGCCCATAATTTTAATTCATCCCCTCTCCCCTCTGCATTCAAAATTTCAAATGAAGAATTTGCAAAACCCTTAAAATTGAAAAAGCCCATAACAAACCTATCGTTGGCTCTCGACGACTGTGTGTATCGTTGCAGGGCAAGATCGTTGAACCTCTCGAGCGAGTACCTCGACTGACCCGAGACCTCCTGGAATCCGGCGTACCTGCAGGTATAATCCCTGGAGTCCGGTGTCGGTGAGCTTGAGTTTGAGCATCGTTCCCCCCTCTCCGAGTACTTCTGACAGTCGCCAGTCCTATCCGACGAGTACCTCCTCGACTGTTGGCCATCCGAGGTGGCCGAGAGTATCCTCTCGGTGGAGGCGTACCTCTGATGTGCGCCCTCAGGGTTCGGTGAGCTCGACAAAAACCTTTCGCACGTCGTGAGTGTCGAGTATTTCTCACGATGAAGACCCGCAGACTCTTGTCTCTGGTATCGCTCGTGCATCGGCGAATCCGTGACGAATCTCTCGTTGGACTTGCCGGCAAATCTTTCAGGCACTGGTGCATGTATCGGCGACGCCGACACCAACTTCTCCGTTGACATTGTGTACCTCCCGACGTCTTTGATGCCACTCGTCGTCTGAAAGTGTCCGCCCTCCCGCTGATGAGCAATTTGTACAGGTGATCCAGTGGCCAACAGGCGTTCACTAGAAGTGGTAAATCGCTGATGATGATCTCTGCTATCGTGCGACGAACCCGCAGATGACACCAGGAGCCTGTCCGACGATGAAAATCTGTCCTTGAGCATTGGTGAGGCTGGCGCTGTGCCGTATCGATCTCGAGGACTGGGTGAGCTCGGTACAATGCAGTCATTGGGGGTGTAATTAGCAAGACTCTGAGTTGAGGCGTATTTGTCATTGGGACTTGGGGAGAGTGGGGGTGGCGGTATGAAACGATCGTTCGCCGGGGCCGGCGAGGGCGGCGATGGAAAGCTCTCCGGTGAGAAAAGTTTACTCGTTGTTGATAGGGCAAGCACACCGGCGTTTGCATATTCACCAGTTGCTGTGCTCTTTGAAACTGTTGTCGACGTAATTTCGCTCTGATAACGATCGTTCGAGGATGATATTCTCTGATCGTTTGGCAACTGGGGGTATCTGGAGGGCTCGCTCGGCAGCATTGCCTGCTGCTGTCCTGAATACTGATGATTAGATGATGTCGACGATAAAGACTGATTGTATCGCTCCTGGTGGGAGGGAATTCCGTATCTCTCGCAGCACGACTGCACTGTTCTTGGTATATCGTCGAGTTTCTGGTGCTGGCTCTCCACTGATTTTTCGTAGTCCATCTTGAGCGCCCCATAGTCAGAATCACTCGGCATTTGGCGATCATTGCTGGTGCTATTGGTAATTGTACATTTTGGGTCGTAACTGTGATTAGCGCAGACAGAGGAAAGAACTCGGGGCTCTGGCTGCTTGGGATAACAGCCTTGTAGCGATCCGACGTCAGCACTGCTGGCACTTGTACTACTTTGGATAGTGGGGATACTCGGGGAATTGGAATTGCCGGGGTTGCTTCCTGGGCTGGGGTACAACGGGGCTGTTCCGAATTGTGAGGTAGAGTGCTGATGCAACAGGAGAGGTTCTCTTCGGCCATAGTCGTCGTCTGTCGGCATTCTGGTGGCCTGCGGCCCACTGTCAGGACATCTGTAATGCAATTGTTGGGGGTGAGAAATTGTCGCCTGAGATTTCGGGGGGAATTCGGTGGAATTGGGAATTTTTTAGGTGCTGGGGGACCAGAAAGCACAGACGTAGGTGAATTTTTGATTGATTCGAAGTTTAAAAATATATTTATATCAATTTTCGGGGAATAATTGAACTAAAATTCATATCTTTCAGTGATTTTTTCATAACGTTTTTAATATTCAAGGACGAAGTTCCTTGAAATTTCAATGGAACGTCATGAAATTTTCCAAGTATTTGTTATTAAGGATATCCAAGTATAGTGTCTTTTACGGTTTGGTACAGACAATACTATAGATTCAACCATTTTCAATGATCAAATTTGTCAATTAAATTGCGTAAGAAAAATTTGGCAAAAAATTATGAATATTCAGTGTCATTCAAATTATATTTTGCACAAAATTAGTATTTTTTAAACATTTCTTTTTTATAAACAATTAATTTAAATTATTTAAACTTTCTGAAACCTCATGTTTTTAGACTTGAAATAGTTTTATGTTAACATTCTAAATATTTATTTATAAACAACGAATGTTTAAAAAATATTTGTTGTATATCAATAAATTAGTAATAAATTATTAAATTCAATAATTAAATTAATGATTATTAATTTATTTGCAAACAACGAATGTCTAAAAAATGTTCGTTGTTTATAAATAAATAATTGAAATTGTTTAAACTTTCTGAAGCCTCATTTTTTTAGCCATGAAATCGATGCCTGGTAAAATTCTGAATCTAAATAAATTTGTTACGATTCCGAAAAAATGATTTTTATCGTGGAAAATTGATTGTTTATAACTTATTTACAGAAAATACTCATAATTTTCAAAAATTGTAATTTTTAAATTACTTCATTAACCTTCCTCCAAAAGGAAACTCTAGTTTTCTCATATTTTTAAAATAATTTCTAGCGGTTCAATATCAAGATTTTAAATTCAAACCTGCAAAGTTTAAATAATAAAATCATTATACAATGTCCGGAAATTTAGGGTCAAATGGGGCTCAATAGAATCCGCCAAAAACTAATAAAAATCCAATAGAATTTTCTACCGAATTCGCAAACGGTTAAGTCAATTTAATCTTTAGCTGAGTTTTCCAGAATTATTTCCGAATTCAAGGAAAATAGCGAAATCTTCATAATAACCTTTTTTATAGAGAGAATTGAGTGCTACTAAAAAGGTTATGAGAAAAATTTAGCCATCTCCCTTAGATTTAGAGATATTCATTGAAAACTGGCCGATAGCCAAAATCGACTTAAACCATTTGTTCACTTCGCTACTAAATAATTCCTATAGAAAATATTCGTATAGAAATATCCGAATATGATATACGGAAATCCTATAGAATTTCTGTACGCAATTCGTATAGAAAATTTCTCTACGTTGTTTTCATACGCGCAAATCCTTCTTCAAACAACATAATTGCAATTATAATCCCCCGTCAACCTCGATCTCAGCATTATTAACAAAATCTTCGGATCTATTTATGTTCCAGAAGAACAAAGTCGAGAAACGACACCGAAAGCTCCCGACAAAGTTACCGCGTAACTTGTACATCCAACCGCTTTGTGGCTCTTGGGCACGTTTGTTAATTACCTCTAGTTAATTAAGAGACTTTAGGGGTGTGAACAATTGTTTGCACAGTGTGACTTACGCAACTGACCCCAGTCAACATCCACAAACAACAGTGCGCTGCACTCTAATGGCAACATATTTCCCCATTATTTCCTTATCGCCGGGGCTTTTTTTCACACGATATCAAGATTTTTTTAGCTTTATCTCTCACTATTTCCGGTATTGGTCGCGAACTAAAAATAGCGCCGGGCGCTTTATTATTCTATATATCAAGAATGCGTAACGCGATACGGAGTTTCATTATAGGTGCAGTCATATGATATTGTGTGCAGTGCAATAAATAACTTCCAGCATACGCTGCAGCAGGGGAATTCGTCGGTCACGACTCACTAGTATACCAAGAGCTTGGAATACGTGATGCCTGTCAGACACATGAATTTGTGGGAATTAATCGTCGCTAATTAATACCCGGGAATATTGCGATTACCGCACACGTAATGCATGTGTGCGGAATTACTGTTTGCAATTGTAATGATTTTAGGGAGCCGATGAGTTTTTTCGTTCTTTTCAGGATATCCAGGTATTTTTTAGCGTTTGATGCAGAGCACACTGTACACTGCTAAAAAAAATTTGTCTGAATTTTCCGTGCCAAATTCCGGAAATTTTTATCGTGTTCCAATTCCACTGAAATTTCAGGAAATTTTATTGTCATTGAACATTCAGAATTCCGTGCTAAACTCAAACAGAACTGTAAATTTCCGTTTCATTTTTCCCTGAAAACAAATGGAAACCCAGAAAATTCTGGTAAATATATTCTTGAATTTTCAGGACAATGACACTGAATGCGCTTTAGGGAAAAAAATCATGAAATTTCAGATTTCAATGAAAATTCAATGCAATTTGATACTGAATATTCATATTAGATTGAAAATTAAAATAAATTAAGGAATTCTCGTCCTTATGCACCTTAAAATTCTGGAATTTTACTGAATTTTCAGTGAAACTTGAAATTTAATGATTTTTTCCCCTAAGTCGCATTCAGTGCCACTGTCCTGAAAATTGGTAGTCAACTGTCTGCTAGGTCAATTCAATGGTCAGATTAAAGATCGCAAGGCTTACAATTTCTCTGTATTACAAAAATCCAAATTTACTTCTGATGATGAAAATTTGGTACTCAAAATTGAGGCTCCAAAATTTAAGGGTCACAGGGGTCAAAATAAAACTCGAAAAGGTCAACATAAGGTTCATGAGAGGTAGAATAAGGGTCCCAAGGGTCAAAGTAAGGGCCTTAAGGGTTAAAATAAAGGTCATGAGGGTCAGAATAAGGGTGACGAGGGTAAGATTAAGGGTCACGAGGTCAAATTAAGGGTCACGAGGGTCAGATTAAGGGTCAAGACGGTCAAAATACGGGTCATGAGGGTCAGAATAAGGGTCACGATAGTCAGAATAAGGTCACAAGGGTCATAATAGGGGGCATGGGGTCATATGGGGTGATATGAGGGCGTTGCCCCCTCATAAGGGTTAAAATAAGGGTCATGAGGGTCAGAATAAGGGTCACGATGGTCAGAATAAGGTCATAAGGGTCAGAATAGGGGGCATGGGGTCATATGGGGTGACATGAGGGCGTAGCCCCCTAGTAAATAATAACCTTAAGGGTCAAAATGGGCTTAAATAAAAGCTCTGATGTTCGACTACAAATATAAATAAAGCATTTTAAAAAACAGCCCAAAAAAAGTACTTGGATACCCTTAGTTCCTTGCGGAGAGAATTTTGCTTAATTGGTTCCATGAATGGGAGAGGAATATCTGAGGGTTCTCGGGGCTTTTAAATTCGTCGGAAGTAGCAAGCCAACTCTTCTCAAAGGTTTTTCCCTTCACTCGTAAGCATGAGATGAATATGGATTTTTTGTTATCAATTATACATTCAGATTTCGCGGAAGTATAACGTGGTCTAATGGAATAGATCATCGGGGATCGATGATGTAAGTTGATGATGGCAATGGATTGAATTAATCCGGACTACTTCGGACCGTCGAGTTGTGTATGGAGAGGTTTTTCCAACTTTTCGGGG